TAGGAAAAAGAGTTAGGGTTTGATGCATCATAAAGAAATACAACAACATCAGCACTCTTTTCGTAACTGGTTAACATTTCTTCCGTGGAAAGTACATCCACTTCATGCAACTAAAAAAAAAAAACAAGGAAAGTAATTAAAACGTAAAGTTGTAGGATACAAATTTGAGTGAAATGAAAGCAGTTTGTTTTAGCAGACTAGAAACCTATCAAAGGCAACGTAAAATAGTGTGAACTCTTCTTGAAAAAAAAATCAAAACTCAGCATTTAATCAGAAAAAAAAATCAAAAAAATTTACCAACAAATATTTTGTTTCATCCTTGACTTTTGTACTGTTAATTACATACGAATTCAGAAGTTTCTTGTTGATAGTAGCCACATTCTAAAAAAATTTAAATTAAAAATGCGATTAATGACTCAACCTAAACAGCATTTTTTTGTTAAAAAAATGTTAAAAAACCAAGCAAGAAAACTTCACAACCTTCCAGTCTAGAAAACCAAATCTTACGAGCGAAAACAAAAAAAACATACAGCTAACGTCCGGCCGATAAATGACTGGATGAAAGCAGTCTTCCCTGCATTTTTGGGCCCTACAACATGACATTGGAATACACTTCTAGCAGTAAACTTCTCTGCATAATCAACTCGCTTATCACGCGTCACCTAAAACTATTTATATAAATTGCGACAAAAATAAAAATAGCACAAAGAAAATAAATTTTAATAAAAACAAAAAAAACTTACTTTTACTGCATCAAGCTGATCCTCATGACGCATATGGAAGCCAAGGTAAGCCAGGAATTCTAATGAATAAGCAACATCCAAAAAAGTTTTCATTCTGAAAATCGACCAATAAACAAAATAGATTAGCACGCAGATTCTCCCAACTTCATTTCAAAAAAACAGCTTTGAAAACTAACATCCAGTAGCATATATACCCATTGTACGTCATCCAACCTTTGTTATTAGTTTCAACAGAGTAGCTAGCTTCTTTGTTCCATGGACTATTCGGACAAACACTGAATAAATTCTGTAGTTCTGTCGGAGACAAACAGCCGTCCGCATCCTTTAAAAAAGAAGGCAAATAACCTGTTTGCTAAAAACTCAAACAAAACATTTTTAACCTACCTCGTCATATTTCTCGAACAAAGCTGTAACAAACTGTAATCCTTCATAAGTTAATTCTGTAGTGGAACCCTTGGGAACAACAAACCTGAAATAAAAAATAAATAAGTTGGAAATAAAATTAACAGCGAATTAATAAACTTAGGCTTACGGAGGGCTGGTATACTCGGGAGCTAGCTGCAAATTGTCATTGTATCCAAAACGTCGCAACACTTTCCACGTCGTCTCGTGTCTACCCAAATGTATAAAAAGTTGGTGAAGATATATAAATCCTGCAAGAATACCCCGTTCTGATGTAAGGATAAGATAATAAAAAATCTACTTTTTTTTAATGTGATTAAACGAACCGCTTAGTGTGACAGAATCTTCAATAATTCCATTATCGCAACGGGAACTGATTGCTGTTTTCACATCCTAAACTTAAGACAGTTACAATCAATTAAGGAAAGTGCACTGATCTTAGAACTCTAAAAAATAAGGCGATTAAACCAAACTGGGTCAGTACAATAAATTTCCTGTCAAAATATCAAATCTATTGATTCAAAGCATGAAAAACTCACAGCTATAGCTGCCGGATTCATTGGTAAACCAAATACTAAAACTTGAAACTGGTTCAGCTCACTGTCGTTCAACAACCCATCATTGTCAAAGTCACACAACTGAAAATATTTTCATCTTCAATCTATTTTTGAAAACCCTGGGACCCTTGAATGCAGTGGCATCAACAGCATAAAAGGAATCGTAAACAGAAAGTTTAAACAGATAAAAAGCTACTGCTCATTTTTGAAGGGACTATTTCGTATAATCACCTTAAATATTCTTATCAAAGCTTTCTTGCAGTTCCTTGTCAGCTCCCTACTTTCAGGTATGTAAAGTTGGCGAGTTGGATAAAGGACAGCCTTCTGAGCGTAATAAAATATTTCACTTATATTCCTCATAGTTCTAGCGGAACATTCGACGCACGTTTCAATCTCATCAAAATCATTCATGATAGGTAAAACCTAGAAACCTATCTTCTTGAAAAAGTATGACCAGAACCATCAACAATAAATAAACGTAAGTTAATTTAAAAAAAAAAAACACTTTGTCAAGATAATGTACTTTTATGAAACAGAGGAAACAAACGCATATACCTTTTCTAGCTGGTTCGAGGAGCTTGGCTCGTCTGCTTTATTGCCGACGAGAATAACAGGACAGAAAGTAGGGTTATTGCTTGTGAGCTTCTGTACCAGAGGTAGCCAATAAGTTGTCACCTACAATTCATAATGACCGCACAAAAGTACACCAAGATGATTAAAAATTGGCGTAAATAGTGGAAGACTCGAAGTCACTCCAAGACAATTACCTTGTCAATCGAAGATTGATCATCGACAGCATAGACAACACAAATGACATTTGCTTCCAAAATTTCTTGGTTTAATTCTTCATTACTCTGCTCTTTAGCTGAAAGTTCCGACTATAAATTACATAATGGTGAAAAAAGACTAATAGAAAAAAGCGAAAAGTAAAAAATCACCAACCACAAAAATCATGGATGGACGTTACAATATTTTCCGGAGTAACATCTGCAGGAATCATAACATTATTTATCCGTGACGGAACGTTACTATGGAATTCGTCTTCAAGAAGCGCGACAATTAAAGAAGTCTTGCCAACGCCAGCTATAAATTTCAATTTTCGCTGTTGAGTTGGAAAATAAAAACCTATCTTTTTGTTGTAGAAATAAGAAGCTAAAAGAAATGGCGGTAAGCCAATTTGATCCTCTAAAAATTTTAGAAAATTGACTTCTTAACTTACGTTCGCCAACAAGTAATACGCGGACATCAGGAATCGAATGACCTTTCTTAACCGTCAAGTCCGCTCTCGTCATACCCCTTCAACAGGACAGAGAATAGTGAAAGTAATGTTTTAAATTTGGTCAGCAAAAATTAACAACACACAAAAATTACTTGTTCTAATAAAATCATTAATAAATGAAGACAATTTAAGAGACTATATTTGGAAATGCTTCAGCCTAAGAGTTACTTGCTGATAAAAATTTTACATTTAATGACACACATTAAAAGTACCATTTCTCGTTAGCAAATGACACATCATATTTAACGTTACACATTAAATATTGTATTGAAGTCAACAAACGCACTGACCAACGAATTATTAGAATCTGACAATGGCAACAAAAAAAGAATAAGTCAGAAAAACGGTAAACCAAAAACAAAAAAAGTAGATAAAGTTTATATATAAAAATTCAAGTGCTCCTTCATAGGCCCAACAATATGCGATATATACCTCATAAAAAATACTTTTTCTTTACGTCGTGCCAACAGCTCGACGATAAATGATAGTCATATTTGTTTTGGTAAACTTTTATACAAATAATCCTATTCTTTAAGCAAAATACATCCAATAATTGGATTATTACTGGTAAACCAAACTGTAAACGAACAGTTTCCACCAGTAATTCTTTCACAACCCAAAATATTTGTTACAACTGTAAAATGGAGAGTATGAGGGAAAAAAAAAA